TGCCGGATTATGTAACTCATTAAAGGATTCTTTAAGGTAATTATGCCTAAAAGTTCTCTGAAAAGTTATTTCTTTCGGAACATGACAAAGAGTCCCTGCAAATTTTATTCTGCTAGTCATTGCAAACTATAAGGGGCAGTGCTCATCTCCATTTCATTGAGCCAGTACTGCCTAAAGACATTTCCATGGTCATGTGGCCAGCATGATGTCATCTTCCCATCAAAGTGGTACCTATTTATCTACTCGCATTTGCATGCTTTCGAACTGCTAGGTTGGCAGGAGCTGGTGGCGAGGATGGGAGCTCACCCTGTCATATGGTGCTCAGGTCTCAAACCTGAACTGCCTGATTTCCAGTAGATAAACCCAGCTTCTTAACCACTGAGCCACCACACTGCCCTATAGGTTGATTATATCTATCCCAAATTCTGAAGGCAAACTCAAACATTCAGAATGAAACCATCCCTTTTGTACACAAATTGATTTGTAGAGATCTGAAACCATTAAAGATTCAGATGTGGTATTTCCATGACTAAGATAACAAAACTGATAATGTGTCTTCTACATTGTTCCATCTTATCTCTGTAGCTCCACCCTTTCCTGAAGAACCCCCAGATCTACAATAACACCATGGAAGGAATGTATGCAGATGGAAATGGAAATTTGATAGCTGACTTTGACATCCTGAGCTGGGTGTGGTTTCCTAATAGGTCAGCCACTAGAATGAAATTTGGAAGTCTAGCAAGAGAGGAATCTGCCAGAGTCAAATTCAGCATCAACAAGGAAGCCATGGTGTGGTCCCAATGGAACAACCAGGTGAAGTACAACAGAATACCAGAGTTGGAAGGGATCTTGGAGGTCTTCTAGTCCAAGGCTTTTCAACCAGTGGTACAGGTACCACCTGTGGTACATTGGCACCTGGCAGGTGGCACGCGACCATCCTAGAAAAGTGGTAGTGGGGGAGGGGAATGAGCTGAACCGGTGGCAGCACCACACAAGCCTGAGCGAGAGATGGGTGGAGCTGCAGGGCTGTCAGGGCTCAGCGGAAGCGCCAGGATCAGTGCCAGGCTCTAGCTGGAGCTCGGCGCTGATCCTGGCGCTTCTGCTGAGCCCAGAAGAAGCACTGATTAGGATTTAGGATTTAGGATTTATTTCATTTATACCCCGCCCTTCTCCCGGAGGACTCAGGGCGGCTTACAGCCAGTTAAAACAATTACACAAAATACAAATCTAAGATAAATTAAAAATAAATATTCGAATCGGCCGCACTACTAAAATTTAATTAAAACCAATTTAAAATTACCCCTAGGCCAGTCCTGCCTGCTNGATCTCTGGGGGCAGCTCGTTCCAGATCAGCTGGAATGTTGCAGCATCTCCAGAGTCTTGTGATTTACATTCAGATGCTTGGCAACTGATTCATATTTATGATGGTCACAGTGTCCCAGGGTCATGTGAAGTGACCAAAACCTGCTGCAACCACCCAGCAGATGGGGGGGGAATAAAAACCAAAACCAAATAAAAACCAAACACCCCACACACACCACCCCCGCTGCCAATCCTCAACAAAAATCCTCACAACAATAAAAACCTCAGACAGGAGGAAGAGTGCCGCCGGGTGGGCAGGCAGGTGTCTTGCTCAGCTGTGGCTTGAGGGGTACTTTTTCAGTGCAATTGTAACTTCGAACAGTCACTAAGCGAACTGTTGTAAGTCAAGTACTACCTGTACTTGACATCTTACTAGGCGACTGGTGGTACTCGGATATTGCCATATCCTAAAAGTGGTACAATGGGTGAAAAGGTTGAAAAGCCCTGTTCCAGTCTAACACCCTGCTCAAGCAGAAGACTCTATACTATTTCAGACAATGGCTGTCCAATCTCTTCTTAGAAACTTCAAGTGTTGGAGCACCCACGATTTCTGAAGGCAAGCAGTTCCACTAATTGTTCTAATTGTCAGGAAATTTCTCCTTAGTTCTATGCTGCTTCTCTTCTTGATTAGTTTCCATCCATTGGTTCTTGTCCTGCCTTCAGTTGCTTAGGAGAATAGCTTGATTCTCTCTTCTTTCTGGCAGCCCCTGTCCCCAGATTTTCTTTGTTGCCTTTCTCTGCATTCTTTCTAGAGCCGTGGTGGTGAACCTATGGCACGCATGCCAAGGTAGCACGCAGAGCCTCTCTGTGGGCATGCGTGCCGTAGCCCCAGTCCTAGGCCTGCAGCTGGGTTTTATAAAACCTTTTCAGTTTAGGTCTCTGCCACCATGTGCAAAAAAAAAAAGGGTTCAATCAATCAATCAATTTCAACTTCTCGCGGGAAAAAAAAAGATCTCGCAAAGTTGGAATTGATTGATTGAACTTTTTAGTCCTACCCAGTCTGCTGTTTCCACTGCAGCCACGCCCACCCAATGGGCCACGCCACCCAATGGGCCACACCTAGCTAATTGGCCACACCCACCCAATGGACCACGCCCACCCAGCAATCGATGATACATAAGTGGGTTTTGGGTTGCAGTTTGGGCACTCGGTCTCTAAAAGGTTCACCACCACTGTTCTAGAGTCTCAACATCTTTCTTTTTAATCATGACAACCAAAACTGAATGCAATATTCAAAGTGTAGTCTTACCAAGGCATTATAAAGTGGTACTTCACTTTAAGACAGTGGTTCTCAACCTGTGGGTCGGGACCCCATTTGGGGTCGATCGACCATTTCATGGGGGTCGCCAAGCAAGGCTGTCCGCCATTTTTTTCCCCTTTTCCGGCGGGTGCCTTACCTCCCTTGGGCTGGGCCAGCTGGTAGTCGGCCTGCTCCGTCTCTGCCGCTTGCCAGCTACGCCTCGGCCGGCGCAGGGGGCGGAACCACGCATGCACAGCGCTCCCGGGCAGGGAAAGTCCTCGACTTACGACCGGTTGGGTAGTCCTCGACTTACGACCGGTTTAGTCCTTGACTTACGACCGGTTTAGTCCTCGACTTACGACTGGTTGGGGTCGCGGCATTAAAAAGGTTGAGAACCACTGCTTTAAGAACTACCTTAAAGAGGTACTTCCCTTGAAGAAGTAACACTTCAAGAAAAAGATCTCCTATCTCTTTGGTTTCATCTAACAGCTCAGTTAGCGTCTTCTCTCTTCTCAAACTAAGTATCAGACTGATTCTTTGTGTTCTTTTCATTCAGTCCTAGCAAAATGGACAAGGTCTTTTTATTTATTTATTCCAATTTCTAAACTGCCCATCTCCCTCAAAAAGGCGCTCTCTACAGGGTTTAGGTTTCTTTCCAAAGAACAAAGGCAAAAATAACATAGGGGTGGAGGAAATGGAGGCAGGCTTTAATAGGAAGGGAGAAGTAAAGCCTTCTAATACAGCCTTTCTACTTTGATTGAGTAAAGATTGATATTATGTGCCATAAGTCACTGTCAGCATCAGCTCTTAGGGATGGCACAGTGGTTAGAATGCAGTATTGCAGGCTACTTCTGCTGACTGCTGGCATAATATGGTCCTAAGGAAGGAAACTTCCAGAGTTTTCCAGAACATTCCATTTCTGGAATGGTTAGTTTTGCACATAGCAATAACACTTTCACTTATAATCCACTTCATAGTGCTTTACAGCACTTTCTGAGTGGTTTATAGAGTCAGCATATTGCCCCCAACAATCTGGGTCCTCATTTTACTGACCTCGGAAGGATGGAAGGCTGAGTCATGAGTCAACCTTGTGCCAGTCATGATCGAACTGCTAGCAGTGAGCAGAGTTAGCCTGCAATACTGCCCTTTAACAACTGCGCCACCACAGCTCATACCTATTTTGGTACTGACCCCCTTCCAACTCTATGTCTCATTTCATAGCTGATCAGTTGCGCAAATGCTTCTGAATGCCAATTCTCTTCATTTTCAGCTCTGGCCTTACTCCCGGTGTGTGGAGGCTTGTCAGCCTGGATACTACAAGGTGGTCCAGGAGGGAAAACCAAGTTGCTGTTATGACTGCATCCCCTGTGCAGAAGGGAGCATCTCCACTCAAGAAGGTGGGTGACTAGAGTCAGGGCAATCTTTGGGAAAGGAGCAAAGGTTCCTAGAAATCTCTTCCTTGAAACTTTTTTTGTCACTGAGATATTTTTTCTCTCTTTTCTCCCTCTTCCCTACATTTAACGGTCTCACCTTTTGCTCCCAACTGTCCTCCAAAGATGGGGAAAGGCAAGATAATCTTCCAGGAGCCATGATTTTTTGGCAAATAAAACATCTTTTCCTTTAAACTCTGCCCCTTTTTCACCCAGCTATCTTTTCTCCCTTTATCAACTTTGGCTACTTATGCAGATAAGTACACACACACACACACACAACTCCTTCTTTCCTCCACACCCAGATACACAGTGTTATTCTATTACTTGTCCTTTTGCAGATGCAGACCACTGCACCAGATGTCCAGAAGATCAACATCAGAACAAGAACCGAGATCAATGTATCCCCAAAATCATCACCTATTTGTCCTATCAGGAGAATTTGGGGGTCATCCTTACCTCCTTTGCCGTCTTCCTAATCTTAACCTCAAGTTTTGTCTTGGGAATCTTCAATAAATATGGAGAAACTCCCATTGTCAAGGCCAACAACCAGGATCTCTCCTATGTTCTCCTGGTCTCCCTACTGCTTTCTTTCTGCATCTCCTTCCTTTTCATTGGTCAGCCAAGGAGAGCCACTTGCCTTCTTCGACAAACAGTCTTCAGCATCATCTTCTCAATTGCCGTCTCTTCTGTCTTGGCCAAAACGATCATGGTGGTGCTGGCTTTCCTAGCCACAAAGCCAGGGAACAGAGTGAGGAGATGGTTGGGGAAAGGTTTGGCCAATTCCATCGTCCTTTCCTGTTCTAGCATCCAGGTCATTCTTTGTTCCATCTGGTTAGGAGTCTTTCCCCCATTCCCTGGTTCTGACATGCATTCACAGTCTGGAGAGATCATTCTGCAATGCAATGAAGGCTCCACTGTCATGTTTTACTGTGCTCTCACCTACATGGGCTTCCTGGCCACCATCTGCTTCATGGTGGCTTTCCTAGCCAGGAACCTTCCTGGGGCCTTCAATGAAGCCAAGCTGATCACCTTCAGCATGCTAGTCTTCTGCAGTGTCTGGATATCCTTTGTACCCACCTACTTGAGCACCAAGGGGAAATACATGGTGGCTGTGCAGGTCTTCTCCATCTTGGCTTCCAGTGCTGGCCTGCTGGGATGTATCTTCATCCCCAAATGCTACATTATTTTACTAAGACCAGATCTAAATACAAAAGAGCAGCTAATATTGAAAAATGAAATAGGAAGCCAATTCTGATGTAATTTTCTTGCAGTATAATTCCCACCCAGTGTTTTAGATCAGGGCTTTTCAACCTTTTCACCTGTTGTACCACTTTTAGGATATGGTAATATTCAAGTACCACCTAGCAAGGTGTCAAAAACTTGACCAAAAAAAGAAAAAAAGTGATAAAGTACAGGTAGTCCTCGACTTACAACAATTCGCTTAGTGACTGTTCAAAGTTACAATGGCACTGAAGTGACTTGTGACTATTTTTCACACTTATGACCATTACAACATCCCCAAAGTCATGTGATTTATATTTAGATGCTTGGCAACTGATTCATATTTATGATGATCACAGTGTCCCAGGGTCATATGATCCCCTGTTGCAACGTTTTGACAAGCAAAGTCAATGGCAGGGCTGCTGGTGGCCAAGTGCTAAGGTAGTACTTCCTTCAGACCATCTCTCTCTCTCTCATTCCAATCCCCCTTCCCCCCCCTCCTTCCTGTTTCCCTCCCTCCCTCCTTCCCTGCCTCCCTCTTTCTCATTCCCATCTCCTTCCTTCTGAAGGAAGAATTTGAATCCCCCCCCCCATATTTTCCCTCTTCCATATATTTATCAAACAAGGAAAAGCATCCAGAGACAGAAAAGACAAGCTGCTGAGGAAACTAGCTTAAAAAGGTGCATTCCCCTTTAAGCATTAGCTACTGGCTAGAAAGGAACGTCAAGGAGCCGGCTGGCACTTTTTTCCTTAAGTGCCAGCCGGCTCCTTAACGTTCCTTTCTAGCCAGAAACTAAGGCAGCCTCCCCAAATGGCTCCATTCATAAGTAAACGAATGCTGCAGGAAAAATCCATTCAGGACAAAAATACTTCAAAATCCCTTGCAGCAAAACTTACAGCTAACAATAGCAGAGCAATAGAATTAGAACTCAAAATCCAACATGGGACATCAGCCATCAGCCACAATAGAAATTGCCAAACACTCCTTAAGAACACAAAGCCCACATTGCACAAATCCCAGAACTTCAAAGTCACAAAATCACATAAGAATCCTTCCACTCTCCCGGTTTGTTGTTTAACTGATCCAGAACCAAACTGCTGAAACGGCACTTCACTTCTGCCAAAAAACATCTCTCGAGCAGCCAGAGCAGCCAGCTTCCTCTCACCTATTTCAAATGGCGACGCTCCATTTTATTTTTTTTTCTCTTAAAGGTATAGCCTCCTGGCTGGAAATCAAGCCCCCTGCTTTTCCTTCCAACACCTCCTTCCTTCCTTCCTCCCTCCCTCCTTGCCTCACCTCCAGCCAATGCTGCTTTCTTCATTCCTCATGGAGGGTGACCCCTCCCCCACTGCATTTCTTGCCTGTTTGTTGCTGCTGCCCGTGTGCACACCTGGCACGGATGGCTGCCACAGAAGTTGTAGATCGGCTCCCGGCCGGCCTGATTGATCTCCTCTCCTCTCTCCCCCCCTCCCCCATCCTCCTTCTTTTCCCTTCGGTGCAGCTCCAGCTGACTCCTCTTCCCAAGGCTGTGTCTTTTTTTCTCTCCCTCTCCTGCCCAAACTGACTCCTTTTATAGCCTCTCCTGTCTCTACCCCCTCTTCCTCCTTTCTCTTCCGGGTGTGCCAGAAGTGCTGATCCTGGGGCCTTTGCCTCACCCCAGCCACCCTGCAGCTCCCGAGGACTCTTTCAGGGCAAGTCTTGCACTGCGCCGCTTTGGCTCATTCCCTACCCCGCTACACCTGGCTGGGTTGAGCAGGGCCGCATACTACCTTCCATGTGCCTATGTACCACTGGTGGTACGCATATCACTGATTGAAAAACCCTGAGCTAAAGTACTACTAATTACTTTGTTCCACTAAGGAAGAACCTGAACTGTCATTAGACCAATGTGAACTGCTTTGGCTTGGATGTCCCCAAATTTTCTGTGTGCAAAACCTGAACCTGATCTTCTGAAGATTGCATGGTGGTACACACTTGTCAATGTCATAGGACTGAAAAGACAATGGCTTTTTTCTCTTTCACCTTTGAGCTTCCATTCAACAGCATGCTTCATAGCACTTCATGGCTATTGCCCATTGATTATTTTTGATTCCATAAATATTTCTTTATCTATTTTATAACCATGCAACTTAGGCCTTGACCAAGTACAGTAAAAAGATATTTTGAAATATAGTCACAACTTGACCCATTATGCTTTGGCAGCTCATCGGCTCCTATATATAAATCACAACATCAGATTCATTTTCTTCTGTGAAGCAATTGACTGCAGCAGCATCCAAGGCCCTTCTCTCCCCATAGCTGTCTTGCAAATGAGTGCCACAACCGGGCAGGTTCAGAGGACAGAAATCTGACTGCCAGCACAGAGCACCAGCTTACCTACCCACCAAAGTGGTACCTATTTTATCTGCAATTAATCAAAAGGGGGCACTCAACAGTTAGGCACCCTGCTGAGCTGGTCATTTCTTCTCACTTATTTACTATATAAACTGGTTTCCAGCTTAATTCCCATTGCAGTTACACAGAGGAAAGGACTTTTGTTTGATGTCCAGTAGCCTTTTCAAAAAGCACCTTTGGGATCATTTGTTTATTATGAATGGGATCTCTGGTATCCTGAAAGGAATGTTAACCTGAATGGGCTGTCACCTTTCACCACTTTCATCCTCTACTGAAGAGGTGGGAAACGATAGACCCTTTATGACTTCTGGGCTTCAACTCGCTGGCTCAGGAATTCTGGAAGTTGAAGTCCACAAGTCATAAAAGGGCCATCATTCTGAACCCCTGCTCTACTGTCTGTTAGATACAGATATTCAAACAGAAAATAATAACCCAATTAAACAATTACCAAGGAGAAAACCATACCCCCAGACCTACTGCATATCACAATTATAAGAAAAGCCTTTTTCAGTGAAGTGGAAATTCTGGCAGACATCAAAGTGTTGCATAATCATTTCTCTTCATTAGAAAATCATGACTTCCGGTTTTGACATCGTGGCGATGCAGGCACAAGAAGACGGGGTTCCGTCTTTCGTGTTTGGTTTCGCCCTGCTGCGGGACCCTCAAAAGGGTCAAAAGTCGCCCATAAAGGCGGCAAGCAAGGAGGGGACTCTTGTTGATCATGGGGGGCAGCCCTCCCATTTGATTCGAGGAAGCCCTCCAAACCAGTGGGGGGAAAGACTGGCTGCTTTCATGTAGCTAGTCCTAAGCGGCTGACAACAGAGGTCAACAAGCATTACCAAGCAACTTTACAGCAATGCGGATGAAACTGAGTGAGACCTGATCCTTTCTTTATGATTTTAAGAGCTCTTTCTGAAAATCTGCCCAAAGCATTCCCCTTAATGAAAGAGAGAAAGGGAATTTCCACCCCGTTCCCTCAGAAAAGAAAAGCAGTGAATTAATTATTTGGGTAAAATGGCAAAACCCATAAGACCTATTTGGAATTATTATATACATACAGCTTGAAAATTTGGGGACTAAAAGTGTTTTTAAGATTTTATTTTTTTTAAAGAAAATGACTTGAAAAGTTTACAATATAAGTCCTGGATCTAAAAACTGAAAAGCGGCATTGATGAAATCTAGTGGTGAATTATGGCACTACAACTTATTTATGCCTAAAAAAACCTGACTTGAAGCCCAGAATTAGATAAGACTTTGGCTGGCCTTGGAAGCTTTTACCACTGAGAATTTCAGCTGAAAAAAAAGGAACAGGCTTGGGGGCTGCTTATCTGGGTGGCAGAGATGATAAATATTCTAAATCTGGCCTCTCTGAATTTTGAACATAAATACTGATTTTCAGAACTGTATTGTGGAATTATTTTCTTGTAGAAGAAACATATGGAACACTTTGGATTATAAATCTTAATTGTTGAACAACCTTCAATGGTTCTTTTTTCTCCCTGGACAGAAAGAATATATTTCTTACTGGACAGAAAAATTTGAATTTTACCTATATCTGCTTAGGGGAGACTCAGGAATGGACAGTTAGATGGATAAATCTATAAACACTACTTATTAAAAAAATAAAAAATAAATAAAATGGATGTTCTATACTCAGCATTAAATAGTAAAACATCTTTAACATCTATTCCCACTAGCCTTAACTTGCCATATCACCAAGAAAATAGTCTTTAATGTAATCTAAAACTATGTCAGAACATCTCTAGTAACATCTCTGACCTGGTTTCAGAAATTTTATTAATGTCATTGATGATACTTATGATTTAACATGAATTCAGATTGTGGCAATTGAAGGATATGATTATTTTAAATATTTTGAGTTGTTTTAGCAACTTTACTACTCAATTATTATAATACAAATTTCACATGGAATGAAGAAAGATAAGCTACAACACATAAAACATTACTTCAAAGTATGTGATTTTATATTGAATGTAAACTGTACAAAAATAAACACCAACATCAGGAGACCTAATGATTTTTTATCATCAGATTTTCTTTGGTGTTCATGGCAGGTCTCAGGATAATAATGTAGCATTTGGGGATAAAGATGCAGACTAGTAAACCCAGGCTGGAGGCCAGGATGGAGAAGATCTGCACGGCTACCATGTATTTCCCTTTGGAGCTCAAGTAGGTGGGTACAAAGGAGATCCATACACTACAAAAAACCAACATGCTGAAGGTGATCAGTTTGGCTTCATTGAAGCTCCCTGGCAGCTTTCGAGCCAGAAATGCCACCAAGAAGCAAATGGTAGACAGAAAACCCATGTAGCCAAGGGCAGTGTAGAACATGGCAACTGAGCCTTCGTTGCACTGCAACAAGATGTGTCCTGGATGGGAATGAAAGTCAGAATCTGGGAATGGGGGAAAAATTCCAAGCCATATCATACAGATGCCTACTTGAATACCAGAGCAGGATAAGACAATAAAGTTGGCCAGATTCTTCCCCAGCCATTTCCTCATGCTGCTGCCTGGCTTTGTGGCCAGGAAGGCCACCACCACCATTACCGTCTTGGCCAGCACAGAAGATACAGCAACTGAGAAAACAATACTGAAAATGGTTTGTCGAAGAAAACAAGTCATTTTTATGGGGCGACCAATGAATAGAAGAGAAGTCAAGAAAGAAAGCAGGAGTGAAACCAGGAGGATGTAGGTGAGTTCACAGTTGTTGGCTTTGACTATGGGAGTTTCTCGGTATTTAATGAAGATTCCCAGAATAAAGGCAGTGATCAGGGACAAAACAATGGCAAAGAAAGCCAGGATGACTCCCAACAATTCCTCATAGGATAAGAAGCTTATACTTTTAGGGACACACTGATCTCGCTTCTTATTGGAATGATGGTCATCTGGACACTTTTCACAGTGGGCTGCATCTGAAAAAAAAATTGTTAGCATGTATCTGTTTCTGCAGCTGTAGGAGCATGAAAACCACAACAGAAATCATTTTTCATTTTCAAAAATCATTTTCAAGGAATAATATAATATTTCTGCCCAGAGATATCCATATGACACAACATTTGTTAAAATAGTCAACATTCTTTTTTAAAGGCTGAAGATAAATGTGATTAACAGCTCTCAAAGACTTGTCCTCTTGCCTGAAACCAAACAAGAAAATTACAACTCAGTAGAAATCAGCAACCTTTCATTATTTATTTTAATGCTCACATCATCATACAAAATTTGGTGATAGTGCCCAAACTTTGAAAAGTTTGTGGATGCCTTCAATAAGTTTAATGTTTTTCTTGCTTCTTTATCAAATACCCCCCAAAAGCAAGAGAGAATATTGATTGTATCCTGATTTTTTCTTTCTTTTCTTTTTCTTTTTGGAGCCACCTACTGTACCTTCTTGCACAGAGAATGTTCCTTTCATGCACAGAGAACAGTCGTAGCAGCAAACTGGTGCTCCCTCTCTCACAAGCTTGGCATAACCTGGGGAGCAACTTTCTGTACATCTTGAATAAGGCACCGTCTAAACATAAACAGAAAGATTAGTCAGGGCAATATATGAATTAGAAGGGTTTACTGAAATCAACTGGTTTCCAGAAGCTCAGAAGCACACTGAGCAAAATCAGTCAAGGACTGGTGGCACGGGCTTTAATTACTCTGCTTGCAAGTGGCAAATGAAAGGTCATTCTCTTTCTCTATCAATCTCTATTGTAGATGCCAAAACAGACTCATTGCCTTATTCTTCTTTCCAAAGGAAAGCAGTTTCATTGCAAAAAGTTTTTCTCCTTAGAGCATTTCTGAGAATGCTATAATTTTTTTCCCCATCTTTGCTTTCTCAGGAAACCTCCAAAATTTAGCTTTCTCTTGAGTCCTTATTTTTCTCTCTTACAATTGATCATTGTATCATTATATGTAAATGACTTTTTTAGCTGCCCTCATTTCCCTCACCACATTCTTAATGACATCTTTCTCTTATGCAGTTCAGTGGGCTCAGCCCTTCATATTCTGGATTTTCTCCCAATGGTGCTTTTTCAAAAGACATCTGATCTTTGTTTTCCCTTGAAGATATTTCACTTTTCATCTCAGAAGCTTCTTCAGTTCTTACTGAATTGTGGAGGATGAAAGGATTTATATTCCTTGCAGTCATCTGGTCATTAGCTGTCTTCTGAAAGTTGTTAAGGCTACTTGGAGAGTCACCTGAATAGTGCAAATGAGTGTGGAACCTTCTTGGAACTGCTGAATCTATGTCCTGTTTACAACATTGTCCTTTCAGCAGTTCCAAATCCTTCCATCCTCTACCATTCAGTCAGAACTGAAGAGGTTTCTTGTAAGAGAAGCGAAATGTCTTCAAGGAAAAATAAACTCCAGGTGCCTTTGGAAAAGCATCTTTGGCACAACAATGACCTGGATGACTGAGAATCTCCATAGACATTTTGGATTTTCTCTTATTGAAAATAAGATGATTTGATATACTGTAAATTATGGCTTCATATTCCTGTTTAATAATGTAGATTGCAAATCCCATAATACAATCGATGATACAGCGGGTTCCAATGTGTGATAGATTATTGAAAAACCTCTAAAATAAAATGATATCTAATAAATTAATGAGAGTTATTTGGAAGTCATCTCAATTGACCTCAATAAGTATTATTTCTGAGCAGAAAAGTTTGCACATATGGAGGTAAATAGAAGAGCAAAAACCAAGCAGCACCAACTACTTTGTTAAATAATGTTGGCCATTGAATGGCACTCTGATTGATGGAAATCTTGACTTCTGAGGAGGCTTCTCTTTCTACACTCCCAATTTTCACCCCTGCATCAGACTTTTCCCAAAATGATGTCCAGTGCATGATATCAAAGTCACCAAGAGGAACTCCATTTTCATCAAAATAAATCCCATCTCTGGAAATATTGTGATGTTGGAAGTTTCTCAGGAACCTATGAAGCTGCAGAAACAGAGAAAAAAACATTACAAATTGAGCCTTTATTCAATGTTTTTCGTGCTATTATTCTGGATTGGAAGTACTCTGAATAATTCAACCTTGTCAGATCACCACTACAGTCTGAAAAAGATTGATTCAGCATTTCATGGGAAGCTTCTCTCATCATTCTCCAGGGCTCCACAGCTCTTTTTCAGATATTTATCTCACATTCTTGAAAATGTGGGATAGACAATGCCATCACCAGGTGGGTTTGTAACTGGCTGACAAATCGTACTCAACATGTAATCCTCTAGGGAACTACATCCACATGGAGGGAATAAGCTGTGGGGTACCCCAAGGTTCCATTTTAGGCCCAGCACTCTTTTATGAAAAGATCTAGACAATGGAATTGAAAGAGAACTCATCAAATTTGCAGATGATACTAAACAGTCAGGAATAGCCATCCCCCCAGAAGACAAGCCCAAGATCCAAAAAGATCTTAACAGAACACTCGGCCCTATCTAACAAAATGAAATTCAACATAGATAAAAGTAAGGTTTTTCACTTAGGCAAGAAAAACTAACTGTATAGATATAGACTAGGTGAAACTTGGCTTAATGCCAGTAACTGTGAGAGGGATCTTGGAGTCCTAGTGGACAATCACTTAAATATGAGGCAACAGTGTGTGGCAGCAGCCAAAAAAGCCAATGCAATTTAAGCTGCATTAATGGAAGGATAGAATCAAGATCATGTGAAGTTCTAGTATTGCTTTACAAAGCCTTAGTAAGACCACACGTGGAATACTGCATTCAGTTCTGGTCATCATTATTTAAAAAAGATGTTGAAATTCTGGAAAGAGTACAGAGAAGAGCAGCAAAAATGTTTAGGGGGCTGGAGGCTAAAGCATACAAAGAACAGTTATAGGAATTTGGTATGTCTAGTCTAAGGAAAATAAGGACTAGGGGAAACATGATAGCACTATTCCAATATTTGAGGGGCTCCTAAAAAGATAAAGGGGGTCAAACTATTTTTCAAATCACCACTAGGCAAGACAAAAAACAATGGAGGAAATTAACCAAGGAGAGATGCAACCTAGAACTAAGGAAAAATTTCCTAACGGTGAGAGCAATCAACCAATGGAATAGTGGGTGCTCCATCACTGGAGGCTCTGAGATCCCTTCCAACTCTATTATTCTATGTTTTATGTTCTATGTTTTGTTGTTTCACAATCACAGCCCCAACTGAGATAAGACCACTTGGAGATATGGAAAAACTTGTAATGGGAGAAGATGGAGAATACAATTTTACCATCAGTCCTGATCAAGATGAAGTTAGTGGAGCTTAACTTTGGGCTAGGAATGCAACAAAAATTGCATAGTAGTAGTAGTAGTAGTAGTAGTAGTAGTAGTAGTAGTAAAGTTGGAAGGGAACTTGGAGATCATCTAATCCAACCCCCTGCTCAGGCAGGAAACCCTATACCATTTCGGACAAATGGCTGTCCAGTCTCTTCTTAAAAACTTCCAGTGTTGGAGCATTCACTGCTTCTGGAGGCAGGTTGTTCCACTGGTTAATTGTTCTAACTGTCAGGAAGTTTCTCCTTAGTTCTAGGTTGCTTCTCTCCTTCATTAGTTTCCATCAGTTGCTTCTTGTCCTGCCTTCAGGCGCTTTGGAAAATAGCTTGACTCCCTCTTCTTTGTGGCAGCCCTTGAGATATTGGAACACTTATTATTATTATTATTATTAATTTAATTTATATACCGCCCTTCTCCCGCAGGACTCAGGGCGGTGCACAGCATATTAAAACAAGTACAAATACAAAATACAAAAAATATAGACCCCTATAAAACCAAATTAAAAACCAAATATTAGAAGCTGTTATTCCTATTAAAATTATTCTTAAAATCATCCCTAAGTAAAATCC